AAGTAGTTAGTATAGTATGGTCGATTTCCATCGGCAATCTTGAGGGAGAAAGTGTCATTAAGTTCTTCTCCTAATTTTCTTTATTTTCCTTATCTTCAAAACACAGCTCGATTTCGATGGAAAGCTGACGATCCGGAAATCGTCTCCGATGTGCTATTTGCCATTGCAAATGTCCTCAGTTTTGCCCGAACCACCTACCTGATGCCAGCTTTTGAGGCTCTGGGTCCCTTGCAAATTTCCTTCACCCGGATGCTTACAGACATTGTCCGGTTCATGGTACTATACATTCTGGTAAGGAGTGTTTTTCACCTAGACCATTCTCTGTTACGTAGTTCAATCAAGTCAGAAAGAAAACACTCATGCGTGGCTTTCAGAAACGCTACCTAGAGGAGAAAACTCCCCGAGCTAAACAGTGGTCCTTTGTCTACCGAATCTCCCAAACTCCTAATAAGCCATAACGGTATAAGAGACTGCTGAAGATATTGCAGGAACAAGAACACGCGGTTAAGAAGTATGAGAACATCACAGATCCACATAAATTGGTGAGCGTTAGGTGAATAGCTCACAGGATTTATGGGAGAGTTGGATGCGCAACACAACCCATCTTCAAATTGCTGTACTTTAGAGCGTTTCAAATCCACCCTTGATCGGAGAGAATCCTTGTGCCAGATTACCGCCTCGTATTTGCATTACGTGGAAGTACTAAATGCTAGCTTTATTTAAGCTGTAAATCATTTACGTCAAAGAAGGAAAGCTCAATTCGCTAAAGAAAAAGTCTAACTCGGTACTACTAATTAGGAAGTCTTTCCCCTGCACTGAACTAGCCGCTTCTTTCCCTGTTGATCTTAAACCCACCAATCAAAGATTTAAAGCTCACATTTCTCCATTCAGTCCAGTAAAGAGCAGCAAAAAATGAAAATGAATATACAAGTGAAAAGATTTCTACCTTGTTACGAAGTTACTGCCATCTATAAGCTTGAATCAGCTCCCTTTCCTCTTATTCTGCTATGCAATTATAAGCGAGGCTACCTTTTTTACACTTATCTTAACAGGTCATATTTGCATTCATGGTGGGTCTGCACAATCTCTACTGGTACTACGGTCTTCAACTCATATCGCCACCACCAAATACCACTGGAAAACCTCAACCTGCGACAGAGGCTTTTGAAGGGTAGGAATAGCAAAGCCATTCTTTAAAGTGACTCGGTCATGCGTTTTACCGACAACACGACCAAATTCCGAAGAGAAAGTCAACCGCTATGGTCTATTTAGCATTGCTTATATCCCTTTTTTTCTAAGCGCATTCGTTTTTATGTTGTTGCGTCACACATACGCGACGCGAAGCCTTGAGTAAAAATATTGCAGTGTCACACCGCGAAAGTGTCAAAAACATAACTTTGGAGCTGTATAATCGTGCATATTTTATGTCTTTCAGGTTAAGGCACACACTTTACAGTCTGTTTTGGGCAATGTTTAGTCAAGTCAGCATTTCAAGGGTGCCGATACGAAGACCAGGTGAGCGCTTCGATTCTTCCACCCCTCGCTCCCCGCCCTTTGAACCAACTTCACTCGACCCAGTTTCATAGCTTTTTATTCAACCCACAGCGGAAGGGCATACGTGGTAATTAGACCTCCCCATGTAACGAGGCGTGAAACCGGAAACGATTCTACCCTTTAACCCAGTCGAATTTTTGTTTACGACTGTAAAATGAGATGCGAATTTGATTAGAACCTGATTACTTGGAAAGACCAAGGGCAGATTTTATTGCACTTTATTCTACTGCCATCAGCCGGGAACTAGGGGATAGTGATACCCCTCATAGGCGGCATTAAAGATTTGAAGAACAGTGGGAGCCAACTCTGCCTCCCGATACCCAATCTCATTTCAAACGTAAAATTTCCGACTTTATAATGAGAAATTGTACAATACAATGTTGATATATATGTTTTGGTACAACCTCTGTATAAACCTTATTTCAAAAGAAGCCAGCCCCTTGAGTTGCTATCAGGAGAACAATGCGAATTTAAAAAAGAAGGGTTGCTTACCTTGCATTCCTTTCTAATTAACAAGAGGGTATGACAATTTGACAGTCGTATTTATCAAAGCTATCATAATACCGACTTGTAGTTGTGCTTAGTAATTTTTTGCTGAAATAGATCATTTTTATTAATTTACTTTAAAATAGGCTTCTCCCTATTAAGTGGCAAGTTAGTTTATAATGGACCTCGCCAAGACCACAACTGGGACCCCTTGATTGCCCCATGGGTCTGCAGTAAAACAAACGCCTCTACTACATCATGTTGTGAGGGCGATTGAAGAACTTAAACGGTGGTAGTAGTAATGCCCTTTACGACTTCATCATTATGGTGAATGCCAATTTAACACTGAAATATCAATGGCCATGTGTGCACCAGATGGTGGCAAGAATCTGGGCTAGGAGGCGGAGACTTATCGCTCCTGCACACCCGTTATCGACCCATCCACGCGATCCGAATTCTCCCTCTCTCTCCAAGAGGGAGACAGAGGGGGGGAGAGAGGGTCGGGCAAATCTTCCCTTAATCAGTAATAATGGGGCATAAATCAAGCTTATCAGACTTGGGGTGGAGGATGGGGGGGCGGAGGAGTTGTCAAATCTAGGCAAAATGAGGAAGTGTGTGAGATGTCCGAGTTATGTGAAAATTTCGTTCTCCTCCTCCTCCTCTTGTTGCTTTTTTGTCTTTTTTGTTTTCAGCTTTAAAAAATATTCCCTATTAAAAATGCATGGGGAAACTCGTGAGGAATGTTTTGAGAGCTGGTGTAAGCAACAAAACCTATCCTAGGAAACGACCTTGGAAGATGTAGTGTACCTTGTGGCGGTAAAAGTACCAAAAATGTACCAAGGAGCTCCCCTTTTCTTGGTAACTGGAATACCTCGGAGTTGAGAAGTGCTGCAGGTTAAAGAAAATTACGTGATTGGGTTTAAAAACATACATAAGAGGGTACACGAAAACGTACTCTAAATGTATAAAAGTACTCAAGGAAAGATGGTGAAAAATGCACTTTTTTGAGAAAATTTCGTGTCAGGTAGGGAGGTTTCAGTCAATCTTGAAGAAGATTAAAGAGTGGATATTAAATCTACTCCCAAAATGGTCCTATGTTGCATGTAGGCATTTCCTTCTCAGAAAGCCTTTACATGGGAGGGTTTAGCAGTACCGGTGAGGCATTTGAGACCAACCTGCTTTATAGAATAACAAACATTCGCCGTGGAAAATTATTTCCCATTTACGTACTTTCATCATCATACGCCAGTGTGGGCGTAAATCGGACATTCGAAGCAGCAACCGAATGTTCGCGGGAGTGGCGGTGATACCGCGAATTGGGAACGTCACTGACAAGTAGTAGTCTCCGGAGTGTCTTACTGTAGCTGGGCGCCGCATCACCGCAATGGGTTTGAAATCTTCTTTAGACAAGGCTAGATTTTCGGGGTTCAGCATAGACGCTCTCGCTCCCTTTGACCATGCTACCTCCACTGTTGCCAAGCTTCCCGTGCAACGGTGTCTAGTCTAGTTCCGGTTTGACCTTAAGTGCAATCTATCTCCCTTTCCCGCAAGACTGTCATTCACCACATGCTCAGTCTTGCTTAAAATATCCCATCCAATTTGTTATTTTTTCGGTGGTTTTGAGTGTCGCAATGTGTTACTTTAGATACCGCGGAGCACAAGTACACCGACGGGATGATCGATACCGACGCAAATACGGTGGTAGTCGACAGTGTTGGCATGATCCTCTTCGCCGTCTACCATGGAATCATTATAATAGTCCTTGTTAACATGTTAATTGCCATGATGAGTCACTCGTTTGAGAGCATACAGGTGAGACTCATTTCCTCTTCTACCGGAGAGCATTTAATCCTTTCACTTAGCCCTTATATTATTCTGGGCTAGGTAGTCTAAACCAACGCTAAGATTTTAGCAAACTCAAAAAGGGGTAGAAGAAGGTGAATATCCACGACATTTTTTAAAATATCTTATTTAAGGTTATATTTTATGTTTTTAAGTCTCAAATATGAAACGCAAGTACATCGCTTTCATAGCCCACTTTAAATGGAATTAATGAATCACCATGATATAAGGTAAGACTAGAAAATAAAGGTTAACCAAACATATGAAGGGATACTTTTAAAATCCAGTCAACAAAATCCCCTCCAAGTTAGGAAGAGGAAAATAAAATTTAAGGCAATTCTATTCGCCTGAAATGATTTGTCGGTATTTCATGATCCTATTTTCGGTCTTAGGTGGGGACGCAACAAATCCTCGTATCAACTCAGTTTTAATGCAGTTTTGCTACTCCATAATTAAAGTCGTCGTTTGGTTGTAAGGCGGTTAAGAAAAGGTGAAATTGGAGGAATAGGCGATGATTGTGTCATCATTCTATATCAAAATATCATTTTCTTGTCAGTCCACTATGGAACTAATGTCTCTCCTCAGTGGATTTTAACAAACACTATGACTCCCAAGATTTAAAATGGGAATTTTAAATTTAAAAAGATTTTGTCCTAAATTTAACACCTCAATTGGGAATCCTCTCCCTCTCTCCCTCGGTGTGAGTGGAGTAAATTAGTCTGCTCGTTCCAACCTTCGTATGGAAAATGTGACATTGCATGCTGCAAGCAAAATTCTGCACATGCATAGGCACAGAAGCTTTGAACAGGCAAAAAATAGGCGGAGCTCCGTCATTTTAATTAAATTTTTTTCGAATACTTAAAAAATTCCCGTTATTGAGCCCCTCTGACATAGATGTCGATGTGATTAGTTGTGGCTTCACACTTGAACTTCCAAATGAATTTAAAACCAGTTTTTTTGATATCTTTTTTTGATAAAGGAGATAAAAGAAGGCACAATAGGTACTATCGAAATGCAGAAAGGCTGAGGGGCTACCGGCCTGTCCCCCGGGCCACATCGCAGGGCGGAGGTACAATGGCGGTGCCCTTCAGTGCGCGCTCAACCAAAACAAAGGGGGCTAAACACACACTCAAAGTGTTACAATACTTCTTATGTGCCATTCTTTGCTAATAACTGCAAAAGCTTTGATTTTTGCTTTGTAGGAGGACTGTGATGTGGAGTGGAAATTCGCCCGAACAAAACTTTGGCTCAACTACATCGACAATGGCTCTACGTTGCCAGCACCATTCAATATTCTTCCTACTGCACACAGCTTGGCTCAGGGCTTTAACTTTCTCAAAAGAATCTTTAAAAATGACACAGTAGTTGTCACTGGATACGTTAGAAGTACTCATTTCATTAAGGTAGGTGTTGGCCTTGAAGTCGCGGCTATCAAAGCTACTTCCTGAATTTATACCAGCTTGAAAGTGGTTTTGTTTTCTTTGTCTATGGGCCTCTCCTAAAATAAAACGCCAAATTTGAATGTGTCGTAGCTCTCAGACGGCAATTGTTCTGCCATGCTCGTCAAACTATACTTTGAACAGAACTTTAGAAGTGCGTTTAATTTTTGATAGAGAAAGGATATAAATGGGAGTATTTTGAAATATGTATCAGCTAAACCATGATTAGAATGGAGGTTTAGCGCGTTTATTATATCTGTTTCATAAACTGTCAACGGGCACCACGGATGACTGGACAGTTTGATCTGTCTGCAGCTTCTGAGGGCTTGTCAATGGCATGCTATTTACCACATGTGCGTATGCATGATAAAAGTATAAAAGAGCGCCAATATGTAAATATTAATTATTGTAATCTATGCAATTTTTCCCTTATTTTAAATCTTCATATTATAAAATGTCCCTTTTACGAGCCTGATTAACGTAGCTGGAGTCCCTCGGCATTGAGACCCGAGCTTAGCCCCGATCCAAAGCAGTGACTGGGAAAACTTTTCGCACAGCTTCCCGCATGACATCAAAGTAGTCCAAAATCGCCTTTTAGTTGGCTTAAACATTTAGGTTTTGTAGATTAGTCACCCTAAAGTAGATGTACTAAGTTCAGAAAGACTTCCAATTCTTGATCATGGCGCATTAACTTGTGGAGAAGAAAGTTCAGTCTTGCATTGAGTTATGAACGCGAACATCATTTTGAAAGGGTAAGCCGTAGAAGCTACACATCAAGCATCCATGACTATTAAGCTTCTTCGTCACTTCCTTTAGAGAGCATGTGTAGTCATTACTTCATGTCCAGGCGGTGGTGTATGCTTGTATGTTTGTCTGTGTGTGTGGCTTAGTGTGGGGATCGGAATTAGCCAACCACTTAGGCCTGGATTTACCCGCTCACAAGGAGTTGAATACGTTAAAGAAAGCACAATGGAAACGTCATTTCTCCTACTACAAAAGCTACCCCTGAGATCTGTACCTTGGGAAGATGGGGGAAGGGAGGATGATATTGTCACACTCTCATCTCCATCCTCCTCCTCCCTATGTCCCGGATAATATTGCTTCCAGCATTAAATAATCTCCGGTAAGGTAAGAATAAATATTTAGCCACCTCGTAGGAAGTAGTTATTTAATTGATAAGTAGTGAAAAAAATTTAAGATCTTTTATGCTTACGGGTAGGTAAAAGCTGTGATTGGTGCATCGTCAAGTCTCATGCGGCAATACAATTTGTTTTAGAAGCCTACCGTATCACATAAAGTCCACTTTTTTACAACTCACTGTATAACTTTATACACAGGAATGGGAGGGGCTCCACATCTATCTTTACTTGCCGTTCTTCCCTAATAAGGCAGAAGCTGTCTTGTACTTATAAACAGTTTGCAACATGAGGGGGAAGATGAGGAGTTGCAGGAGACCCTCTCGTTACTACCGCGATTATGATTCCAAACTGGAAAATGTAAATTTTAAAGATTTTATAATATTTCGTGGTTTCCTGAAGTGTTTCCTCGTATCTTTTTGGGTCTTATGTTTGAACATCCATAAACTTCACTTTTGGTTACGACTCTGTGGTTTGTAGCACTTTGGTCTGGCCACATAACCCCTCCGTCTTCTCACCAAGTAATTGTAGCAAAAGGGTTTACCGAAGGAGGAAAACTATTAACCGACTTAAGACACAAGGCCTTCAGTAGAAACTGGAAGTGATAGTCAAATAAAGTATATTTTATTTATTCTGTATCGAAATCTCCTACTCAAGCTGCGTGGATTTATCGATGACATTCGAGAGAACAGCCACGACCGTTGACCACTCGCCCAAAGCGTTTCTTGTCCAAATATATCTGTTTCTTTACCTTAAAGTATACCACTCATTCGTGTTCTTTTTGATTAAAGAAGTGTCAAAGTCCTCTGCCTCGAGGTGATCACCCACAAGTTTTGCGCGCTTAGCGAATTAGGGTTGGAATGATTAGAGTCATAAAATCAACCCCTTTTTAATCCCCTTCACTGTCCCCGACTTCCCACGAAAAGATCAACGTAGAGTTTCTCAGAATCAAAGTGCATGACAAATTCCCGAAAACATATCTCACGACTTCTTTAGTTTGTTTCTGATTCTTTTAAAAAGGTTACCCATAAATAGGGCTTATCGCATTGCTTTATTGTTCAACAACTTGTCAAGCTCTCTTAACATTTCTGTTCGGAATTATTTACCAAAGTAGTATTCTTTAATCAAATACTTCATTGGACTAGGTCAGGGAAGGTATTAACTAGGAGAGAAAAATATTACTGCTTTGCGACTGTTTTCCAATTGTTCCCAAGCTCTACCTCTCGTTCATTATTCACAAGAACGCATAACTTGAGTCACCCATACAGGAGAACTACGGTGTCGTTTTTAAGATCTGACAAATTATTAATTCACTAAACACTCTTCCGTCTAGTTAACGCCTGAGAGGTAACCCCCCGGGCTGTATGGCAGTACCAGTAGCAAAGGCCTAGTGATTTGGCAATCATTAACCCCGCTTCTTCATCCTTTCTTTCTGACAAGGGCGTTCCTTTATGACTGCTTAAAAAGCATTATTAACTACCTCTGTGTAATACAGTAATAGCAACGAAGTGTGCGATTAAGGATGACTAATGGAGGGGATGCATTTTCATTTTTTAGACAAAGAGGGAGAAGGTTTGCAAAAACCGAGATCTTGAGGTAGAAGAAACCTCGTATGCGGATATTATGCAACGACTGGTGAGGCGATACCTCTTTAAAAGAGAACGTGCCAAGGATGCAGAAGGTCAGTTTATGCTTCATTTTGCCTCATTTTGACTAACCATACGGCAAAAATGTTCCAGTTAAAACTTTGCTGCGGATATGCGAAATTCCTATCCCCAAGGTCAAATTTTAATTATGTAACCATTGAAAGTAATTCCCTTGTAATCAAATTAACAAGATAAACAAGTACACACTCAAAGTGTGAAAAGGAAAGTTGTTCATGGTAATGCAAAAGAAGTCCGGTGCTTCGAAAATGGGAGTTTTGGAAAACCCTGTGTCACATTCGTGAAAATAGTGTGACAAAACTGAAGAAGTGTGTCAGTTTGATGCCTTTAGGTAGCACATTTATTGCCTTGGTGATCCCTAATCTCGGTTCGCTGAGACTAGGGCTAGACAACGCAAAAGAAGAGTAGGCTGAAAAACTTTTTAAAAGTTTAAATCGTCTAAGTTTGGAAAGGAAAAAATGGCCTGTGCTTCAACCATTTCACTGTTATTTTTTCTGTGACACAATTTCAAAAGTGGTAGGTTTCATATTTCAAATCCAATACAGCTTCAGGTTACTTACTTTAGATCTGTTTTATACAGCATTAGCGTTAAATTCAGCATTACTTATTTTGAGCTGATGTGTGGATACCTTCTTTATGGAGTGCCCTGATGCAACTTAACACTGCTCCGAGCGTTATTTAATGTCAAGAAAGCTTTAGCGTAAAGTGACTTCTCAGTGATGCTCTTTTACAACTCTTAGTGTGCTCTAACTTCCCGAGTTTGCAGCTGTGCTACTTCCAGTCAGATTAGACGCTGATCGGGTGCCAGGGATCAGGTGCTATACGCGTCGGTTAAGGGCTTACAGACCGTAGACCAAAATCCATTAGGATTGCGAGTGTCATTGACGTGCAGATAGGTTTGTAGCCGCCTTTAAGGCGTTCGTAATACCCTTTCAACATCACCTTTATGTTAATCAGTGATTTATACAAATCGCATCCGAGGTCAGGTCTTACCCATGTACACACAATCACGAATGCTTTCCATCTAGGTGGACCATGTCAGGACTGGACCGGCTCACTGCATGTGCAATGGCAACTAATGCCCAATAAAACATAGCTTTTATTACTGCTTTGTCGTATCATCCCTTTTCATTAGCTTTAAAGCAAAATATCCGGGTTTGATGTGAACGTCCCACGCAGTTTCTCGCGACCTTTCCAAGTAACGCGATAAATTTTCACACGAATAATACTCTATATGACTGCATAGATGCCTCTCCAAAGAGGTGTTTTTTTTCATTAAAGGTGAAAAACCAAAAGAAAGCTTGTATCTTCGTGCCGACGATCTGACAGCCGCAGATATGTATGCAGCAGGCGATCGTGGCATGGATTTTGCCGGTATGTAAACTAGCACGTATTATGCATAAAATCAAACATTTTGGAGGCCAGGTTTCTCATATTATCATTTCATGACAGCGTATTTTAATCTTTGCTGACAATAACGACTTTGGACAGGGGTAGATTCAATTGGGTGGGCTCAAAGGAGGAGAAATTGGTACATGAATTAAGAGTTTTTTCACCTTAATTTTGTAGTTTTTTTGGCAAAACAAGGAAAGCAATAAGTCAAATTAAATGTTGATTTGGAATTCAAAAAAATGGCGTATGTTGATAATAAAATCAGCGTCAATGTTGAAATCGTCCTCCATCCACACGGGAGGGGTTTGCATGCGTGTAAGAATGACAAGCCTCGAGGTCGGGATTTGTCAAGTCATTATTCTGCACTGTCAATTAATGCAAAGGCTTTAACTTTCTTTTGTGAAAAAAAAAAGGCTAGAAGAAGGAAAATTTAAGATTGGTTCAAATTATTAACTTAGAATGGTTCAGTTTCTTGAGTTAATAACGCCATAACGCCAAGAGGAAAAAGAAGAAACTAAGCCTCCTAGTTTACCTGTTTAGAATTACTAAACGACAATGAGTTGCCCAAAGGTGCATTTCCTCAAGACTTCTCTGAAGACGTGAGAAGACATAACACTAGGGCAGAGTATGTATTGCTGATGTACAGAAGGGGTGGGGGCTACTGACATGGTGCAGAGGCCAGGCCGCCCGGTAGAGCCTCCCAACGGTCCGATACTGTAACCGAAAGTTAAACGAATAAGTAACGTATTATATAGGTGTAGAAGGATGTATATTTACGTAAAACGAAAGAAAGAATATTATTGGAAAGTTGGATGCTAACTCTGTGTTACCATAGAAGCGTCTCGAGTGCCACGAATAAGCTTAACTTGACTGCTACAGATGCTGAAGATGATATCCCACCTCTGGGTATGACTCAATCTCGAAGTACACCAGCCGGTAACCTCGGTGATAGTCTCACACCAGGAGGAGGTATAGCAGGAACGTCTGCACGTAGATGTCGGCGCAGCGGTACCAAGCGGTGCTCCATTGTCGGAGGAGCGGGAATCCCCTTCGGTCTCATGGCGCCATTCAACATCCAATTGCCCCAATTGGATGGCATTCAGCGGTCACAAAAAGTCCTTGATATGCGTCTTCAGAATCTTCAGGTAAAAATGGGTTAAAATACTCTCAGTTAAGCTGGTCAGATGGTACTGCTCTTGACTTTCAAGGTGTCGGGCTGAGAATAGAAAGTTAGGACGTCACATATTTGTGACGCTAGCCGAGAATAAAATTAATGAATGAATTGCCTAAAACTAGAATCGTTGTTAGGCTTTTGGATTGATTTGACGTTATTATTTGATACTCGAGTCCTCTAAAGTTCAGGCTATACCTATTTTCTGCCTACACATTGAAAAATTTCCTATCATTTACGAAACAGAAATGAACTAACCTTTCCGACGTTTTTCCTGTTAAAATTGCAAACGGTTAGATGTCTAAAAAGAGAGCTAATTGCAGCCGTCCCTCTTTTTCTTTCTCCTCCATTCTCTCTGTTGAGCCTTCAAAATGACATTTACCCTGAATGCAAATGAGCTTGTTTTTTGGCTTTACCTAGTCAATAGGTGTTATGCAGTGAAAAGTTGTTTCTGTTCGGTAATGTGAGTATATGGAGAGGAGAAGAGGTGTGGACAGCGATCCACTCTTGCCTGTGATGTGGAAAGTTCAGGAAGAGAGAAAATTAGAGGTGTCGCTAGTTTTTTGCTATTAGATTAGCACCGATTCCCCTTTCACAGACGCGGACCCGGACAATGATCACTGAACGATCGAGGTGATATCACCCTGTCATTTTGAGTAGCCTTAAGCAGTCTCTGATTCGCGGCCAAAGCAAAGAGAGACTTTACATCCCGAAACCCTCGATCCAGTTCCAAAAGCTCATTTCGCATACCATTCAATTACATTTGAGTATTCTGTAGCAACTTCTCTGGGTCATGATGTGTTTTTTTAATATTTTCAGTAGACAGGGCGCAAATAGGAGAAAGCTCCTTGCGCCTAGGCAGAGATGGAATGATATGTGGAGTCACACGTTTAGATAATATCTTCCCGCATATTCGTAGGAGGAAAATTTGACCTCGACTGTCAAAGGAGGTAAAATAGTAACTAATTTGGCATGCTGTGTCCATAAATCTTTTGCTTTTCGTTTGGCTGTTAAAACACTTGATAAGGGGAGTGAAAACACTGGAACCGGTTGCCTTACCCATCTCGTTTAACCATCCAAGCTCCTCCTTCATGAGCAACGTCAACTGTCTTGACAGTGATGTTACACAACGTCCTTTCAATTGTCAAATCCAACTTTACAAGAATTTTCCTACCTTGTGAAGTCATGAAAATTGGTTGATGTCATTAAATCCGCCTTTTACGCTTGTTATAGCGGTGTTTGAGCAATCATGTTCTATTTTCCTCTAAAAGAGTCAATCAGAGCAGTTGAATAGCGCTGCGGGTAATGCAAGGATCAAAGAGGAGGTAATTCATGTCCGATCGCTCATCACGGAAAGCCAGAGAGCTCTCTCTTCCATCATTAAGGCTGTCTCACAATTGCAAGAACAGGTGAGTGACAACTTGATCATTAATTCAGCAAAGTCGAAGGAGTCACCAGCCTCTTTTACTCCCCTAGGTGGTCCTACTAAATGAAAATATGGAACAATGGATTAAAGCTCAAATTGGGGAACCGAACAAACGCACTATCCTGCTGGAGGAGCGGCGTCCAGCCGGCAGCTCAAAAATGCGCGAGCGTCATCGTTCGCGACGCCTGACCCAACGCTCTCCAACAGAGCGCGACAACAGCCTCAATCCCTACGTCTAAATTTAATGTCCATAATGCAAAACAGCGCCTTATATTTTATATATAAGAGTACAAGTAAATGCGTCTCCCTTACCGCTCCCTCTTCGTCCCCTGTCCCGCCTCCCTACCTCTCTTCCTTCCTCCTCTAATTCACGTTCAACTAATCGTAGCCCTCGGGATAGATGTGCAAATGTTTGCATCTCGCCTTTATATATACATATATGTACCATTACTAAGCATCCTACTCCCGCCTTGGTGTCTCATGATTGTTTTTATTTTCACTAAAGCTATCGTTTGCCACTGGTGGCAGGTAAGCAGTCATATGTAGTTAAAAAAAAGAGTACCACACATACCTACGCACACTTTTTTCTTCCATTTCTTGTTTGGGTCCTTCGCTTGACACTGCTACTACAGTCAAATCGAGTATTTTAATTTACTTTTTTACTTGCCACCCAACTTCCGGCAGTTAGACAATGAGTGAAGCAGTCCCTGCCATTGTTACTGCCTCGCGTTAATCCCCTTCAGCAGACTTTGAACGATCATCCTTTTTTTCATTGCCCTGAAAAGAATGATAGGCGTTATCTTTTACTAGCCAAAAGAAGAAAAACCGCATAATACCATCCTTGTAGTTTACTTTTAATACGGAAATAGGGAGAAATTTGACTGAAAGCCCGCTTTGGCGTTGAAGCCAACAAGTTATTGTTATTGCTTTGCTTAGCTAATATTTAAATTTGTCAAAAGTTTTACAAAAGTTGTGAAATTTTCTGTCAGACTTAACAGCTTGGCTTGTGGCTCCTTGAAGGGGGGTATTAATATGGAAGTACAAGACGCTCCTTCTGGCATGTTTTAGGCAAACATCTGTGGAGATATGGAAGAGGCGTGTGGCAGATAACACGGTGCTGAATTTCTTTCAGAACTCTTGTTCAGCAGTATTTCTGTCATGGCTTATTGAATTTTTCCAAATTCTACTCGATTTCAGTCATGCCAAGGTCTTGTAGCTACAACATCACCCTACTCTCGGGTTTGAGCCTCGCCTACGCCGCAGTAAAACTTGTTCTAAGAATACTTCAGCTTTCGTCGCCTGATAACTCGTGTCACCTCAGGGTGTTAACAATCATGCATCTGTAAACGAGGCTGAAGTTTTTCTGGAGTGCTTTGAGATTCGATGCCTAACTTGCAAGGCTCTATAAGGCAAGAAAATTATACAGCCCAAGCCCTCATGGTGAATGGGAAGGACGCTTATGAGCTAATCAAAAAGGCATCATTTCTAGATTCTCCTATTTGGCCTCGTGTGAGAGCCTGAAGAAAAGTCGAATACTTTATAAGGAGGCTATGGAGGAGGTAGGTTCCATATGCTTCCGAGAAAAGAGAACCGAAATATCCAAAACTTCATGCCTCAAATTCCAGGCTTAAGGATTTCCTTTGGGAATGGCTTGTAGGGTTGATTGCTGAAATAAGCTGGAACCTCATGCAGAAAGCGCTTTTCCTAATTCCGGTTCCAATCTTTTAACCTAGTTGAGATCTTTGTGAACCGGACCGGGATATGAGGGCTGCCGTGGCAACCGCAGTGATGACCTTATGCGTTAATCCAACCCAAAGACGGCTGGACTGTCAATAGAAGCAAGAGCCAAGACGTGCGACTAAAAAGACGGGAAGTAGGTGACAAATGTGATAAACTAGGGCATGAACAATCCGTTTGTTGGAATCCGCAAATCTGCACGGCACAGAGGGCTGTTGAAAGCAAAAACCTCAGCTATAACTACAATTTCCTCACTCTTGCCGATGATAGGGCTACCGGTATGGCCAGAAGGCCAAACCGCCCTACGAAATTATAGTAGAGGAGCCTTAAATGACCCGTTGCCACAACTGAGAGTTAAGCAAACAGCTAAGGCATTGCACTGTCTGCTTCCAATTTTCCTGATAGCAGCATTATTACTGTTTTTGGAAGGCTGGTTCAAATTTTATGCCTGCTAAGGATGATTCAACTCTGGACAAACTGAAACGACTTTAATCGAGGCGGCGGCATGACCAAAAAAACTGACATTTATTTGGATTGCGGTGGACATGGTGGGTGTTACGATGTCACGGATTACTGCCATGAATTACTAACTATTCGAGGTACATTTCAATTTCAGCCGGAATTGCTACATAGCGTCTCCTCGACGTCATGAACGTTTATCTGTTTTTATCTAGGAGCTTACCGGAACTTTTTGAACAAAGGATCCACTGAAGTAATGGCATGATGTTGTAGTTCTCGAAATACCATTTGTTTGATTCCACCGCAATTTTGTCACCGATGCTATTTTACCATTTGCCATTACTTCGAAGGCGAAGGAAATAACCTCGTCTTTACTTCTGTAATCCGGATTATAGGTGTGTAAATGAATCCAGCATGTAATTTCTGCACATCACCCCAAATTTGGACCGAAAAGCAAAAGCAGGTTGACTGATAATATTGACATTCACTTAGTTAAGTAAACATTATATCTATTTAATCTACAACCGTTGCTACGCCTCATTGTCTCCATGTGCTCTGTTCACTAATGGGCCAGTTTTTCAGAGCGATGTCAACCATGGCGTGTTGGTCATTTACATTGCTACTTGAGAGATAAGATGTTTACACTACTCCCGGTTATGGGAAAACTACCGGTGATAATATAGAAATGGATGGTTCGGTAAAAGGAATAATAAAATATGTAATTTACCCACTCTGGTAAATTTGCATTACCAGTTAAAAAGCTGATTGACTGGTCAATTAATGAATCACAACATAAAAATGAGTGTGGAGCGGGCTGTTCCGCATGTACTCGTGGAGTATGCTTTCGGAAAATATTCATTAAAGGGCGAAAGTACTTGGGGCCTCATGAATTATTGTTTAGATATACCTTGGAATAGGTTGAGGATAGCTGAGACAACCACTTCAATGGAATCATAGATATTAAATTTGTCTTAGGATTTGCGCTGATATACACTAAACCGAAGGCAAGGGTGGGTCTTTGTTGAAAGAGATAAAAGGTGCATGAGGGTTACATCAGATATGAAGAAACTACTTCGAGACTTTACTGCATTAAATTAAGAAAAGTGAGGACATTTTGCGGAGGTGTTCCCAGCATGTTTTGATAAACTAGTCTATTAAAACTATTAAGCTCACGAAATATGGAACAATAGCCTTTAATAATGGAAGATTCTAGAGTTTTCCTAATTGCATTAACAAAGCGGGATAAATCTTTTTGCAAAATCCAATCATTTTAGAGACGTGATGTAGTGCGAAAAATATTGTTTAATTATTGGCACAAACAAAAATTAGGACTTTTCTTTTTTCCCTTGATAATATCATGGATTTGCTAAAGGGTAAAAATACATGTAGTAAATTTCCTCTACATTATAAAAGCGTTCAGATGCTTTATTTTACTTTTTAAATTAAGACGTTTTAACTTATAGCAGGTAAGTGCTTTTCTCTCGTTTAGTAAGAGTTATCCAAACACTAGCATTTAATAAGAGTTTAGATCGGCTAGTAGTAAGGGAGCGCATTTTGTTTGTTCTTTGGCAATGTTTAGGAATTCTCGTTTTGACAAATTATTAGGTAATATTATTGCCATTTCTCAGCTATTTACTCCAGCAAAGTCCACCAGCGAGTTGCTGATGGAGGCAGATTGGGAAACGAACCTCACGATATGTGATTTAGTGCGTGGCCAAGAAGTTACGTAAGATATGATTGGATTTCTGTAACCATTTAGGCCGAAGGATGCAATCAATAGTCTCAAAAAACGACTTAATCCTGAAAATCCACACGTTTTAATGCTCGGTCTTTCAGTAATTACTTTCCATTAATACATTGTTTGAGGTTCTCGAAGCACTCATGAAAAACTGCGGTACACCCATTCATGATGAGGTTTTGGGAACTGACTTCGTTACATATTTGCTTGAATATACACATGTAATTGATTGCATATCAAGTTATTTTTCAATGCTTAGACAAACGAGGAGGTTCGCTCGCGTATATTCGGATTTATCCAGAACTGGGAATTTGCATTTAAGAAGAGTGAAAATTATCACTACCTTCATGAGGCATATGACGAGATCAAACGATCCGGCTATCCTTTACCACCGTTTCACGAGAGCGAGGCCATGTTTTCTGCAGAAGTTGCCCCCAATTGGAAGGATGGGGATGAGTGCTTCCGTTGTAAATCTACCTTTACGACATTCCGAAGAAAGGTGAGAAATACCTCCCTAGACGTTACCAGAAAGACTTCAATTGTCATTTCCTTACCTGTGTAGAAATCCTCTACAGCCACAATTTGTGCATTATTAGTAAAGTTTTGTATAAAGATTGCATTGACGTATTTTTTTATTTTAGTAGTTTAGTATTTGTGTATTCTTGCCAATGCTACAAATTGGATGTAAACATTTGAATTGAATCATTTAACACATTTCCGCCACACTGAGCTAGTGTTAGATTGTCAGTCGTGAGAAATCGCGTGCCTCTTCACTTTTAGCATCACTGTCGGAATTGTGGGAATGTATTCTGTGGAGAATGCACCACTGGTCGAGCTGGGATCCCTAAATACGGGATCGAAAAAGAAGTCCGAGTTTGCGACAGCTGCCTCCACGACCTTACAAGGTGCGTTTTTGTACATCTTTTCTAAGAAAACACTACTTTTATATGCTAAATACATGAATATGTAAATGAATGCCCCTCAGGCTATTCTTCTAGTTTTTTTTACAATTATGGTAATTTTGCTGAATTAATTAACACTCAGGCATATACTGCACTGAAGTAGCACTGGGCTGATGTCACTGTGGAAGTGAAATTACGTCGCACGGACTAGCACGTGATGGTATACACCGGAATGTTGGTTGCAGTTATGAAATCCACTTAAGAGCTATTCTCCCATTGGCTTTCTTTCTTTGTGGCTCTCCTTGTCACTTATCTCAGAGATGTTCAAGAAGTAAGACCTCCCTCCACTTAGGTTTCACGTTCCTGGTTTTGCAGTTAGGAATTTTTTGCATGCGTATTCCTGATTATAAAGTGCTCAATTTTTGGCTCTTTAGTATTTACCAGTTCGTTAAGATATGACGGATTCAATCTGTGGCCTTCACAACTACCTACTCGACTCATTTGTCCTATAGGTGGAAATACTATCACTTATTTCTATCTCTTTCTGGCGATTGAATGGTAGTATTTCTGGTGCTAGATTGACATTAAACATCATTCACGGATGATCACATTGTCCTTACTGCGAAATTTTCCACTCGAGCGATGAGTCCACCTTTGCTACCAGTGGGTGGACCGTCCAATCGAATGAATTTCTCCCCGGTAACACCTTGTTACTCCTGGCAACAAGCAGAGCAATTTCCCTTGCCTTTGGTCCTCATTTTTTTAATCTCCTTTCGACAATGCTCTTTGCAAGGCTCAAGTATTCAATTATTTTCGCTTTGTTATTTTTCTTTTTCAGATTAGCGGCTAGTGGAGGCAGCAGTGCTGCTCGCAAAAAGGAAAACAAGGTTTGTTGAAGTACTCATTTTTGACATTTGTGAAGAAACTTTGGAATTCCGCTTTTCATTTTGCTGCTACGATCTCATACCCCATAGTTTTGAATTTGTTTTCTAGCATGGGACCCTGCGCGAATTTTTAAGTGAGATGGTAATGTAGCTTAATGCTCTAAAACACTTACGCTATTAGTACCGTATTTCAACCTAAATATTAACTTCTTTCAGAAAACGAGTAGGCATACGGTAAAGTCGGCAAAATCTCTTACGCATTACGGTTTACAATAAAAAAACGCTTCCTGGTTGCTCTCGTCCTCCATTGCGGAAGGCAGATTACTTCTTCATTCTTTTCTATGTCGTCATGTCATGCCATAAATTTGCTATTCATTTTTTCCGCCCTAACCCAACGCTTATTTTTACTCAAAAGTTACTCTACTACTGGTCTACTAATTTTACGGCGCATTCGGTTAGGCATATTTCCACACTGGTTTTAGCGACTTCTGTATTAGATATGCGCATGTCAACCTGAGCATTTGATGATGCTTTTTTTGAGGGTATAAACTTTCAACAGTTTTATTTGATACTAATTTCATTAGTATTTGGGTTTCACCTTGCCTTGGATTACTCCAGATCGAGATGGATATATTAAGTGGCGTTAAACTCGAAATTTGCACCTCTTGAAATACCTCAAAAGGTGAAAAAACCCTCCCATTCACTTATACCAACAAACACACTAATTCGCTAGAGAGCACCTCCATCCAGTTCTCTGCTTTGATAATCCCAATCATTTCCCCTTTTTATGTGGGATGCTTACGCTTCGGTTGGTTTTTTTAGCAGCACCAACAAGAACAGGAACATCAACATCAGCAAAGGCTTCAAAAGCAAAAGGAGCAAGCGGCGAAGGAGGCAAAGGAGAAGCAGCTGCGCTTGCAAGAGGAGGAGGAGCTTCAACTGGCTCTCGCCCTTAGTGCCAGTGAGGCGGAATCCAAGAAAATGCAGCCGCTGCAGCAACAACATCAGGTACCCAAAGCTTCCCCTCTCATTACTCTTTACTGATTTACTAAAATACTTTGCGTTTTTGAAGACTTGCAATCGTTTGCATCACACCACTCCACACCCCACGCAGTGTTATGGTAGATGTGATCGTCTTTTGTTACAGGAATGTTGCGTTATTTCAAAATGCATTCATGAGTCCCATGTGTGATTTTCACCCTTGAGCTCAGGTAGGGCGTTGGATTTAATAACACCTCGTGATTACAAAAGTACCTGTGAATGACTGCGGCATGCAATAACCACTAACAACATCTCTCTTCTGAGGAATTAAAAAGGAACTCTTTGAGGCATCAGCACGACAAAAGCGCTATTCTAAACTACTTCGGCTTCATTTACATTCAAGCGCCTAACTAATTTACACTTACTAGTAAAAATGACTGCTTCTGTCGTTTTTTGGCATTTGACAAGTCTGAATGTCGTGCGTTGGGTATTACTTCCTCCGCATGCTACACGCCCTCTCCTCGCATCCCCAAACATGTCTACTCCGGAGTGTAATTCACACCTTTTTTATAAACTAAGATCTTCTATATTAGTGGTGCATAGAACCACCTTAAATATTTTGGGAGAGGGGAATAAAGTTTTCTCTATTGGAGTTTGGGCTTTGCACAGTCATCCTTTGCCTAATGTCATATGCACTCGTGACCTGAGTCCAGCCCAACCCAACATAACAGCAATACACCCACGTAGGACTACGCACAGTCGGATGGTAATGATGTAATTTGAAGCACACTTTCAACCAACCTTTCTATCCCAACGTAAATTTGTCACATACCGTGGATTCTGCGGTCTATATCTTTGCTTTAATCTTTCAGGTGTTTCGGGCGCTTAATAATTCTCGGTAGTTTTACTGCCTTAGCTGATTATAATGTTGGTGCTGGTTAGTCTATTGCAGTTTTATTTAATTTCCGTCGAAAACTATTGCTTTGAGTCTAATCAGTAGCGGAGATTAGAGAGAACCTTTATGAAGCAATTTATTCTGTTGACTCCTATTTGGAAATTTCCAGTCCATTTCACAAGAACTTGTTATTTCGTATTCGAGCAGAGCTTGTAAAGCCGCGTGCAAACATTAAGGACTACTTCAATATCAGCTGGTCTAACTTTAAGTCCGTTCTTTTTTTCTGGGAGCTATGAACCAAACGCCATCCATCACAAGCCTTAGAGATTTCGAAAAGCTAGCCTAAGGCAGCTTCCCGCTTCGAATGATATCGAAGCTTTTTGGATGCATGCGAATGTGGAAGGGAACTGTTTTTAAAATATGTGCAGTTTCTTTTCAAAATTCGTTTTTTTTTTTTATTTATAGTCTCAGAAGTTTAGGCTCGTAATTACAATTATCATATTTCTGTCTGCGGTGTCGAGCACTCTTTCGACTTGTTTGTAGGACAGCTCGATTTCCTGCTAGCCTACGGCTTGGTAACTGTGGCATTGCTGTCATTCACGATTGTCCTTTCCTTTGTTGGTTTTTAGACACCATCAGCTTCGCAACAGCAAACGAAATTGCCGACGTCATCGTCCGCCACTGTGCCCCCAGCGGCTTCAATACCACCACCATCGGATGCAGCTAGTGATTTAGCTACTGAGGTGGACCCCGAGTTGGCCCGCTACTTGAATCGCAACTACTGGAGTGGTCGCGCTGCTGCTACAGATAGCGACTCCTTTGCCGGCAATTTTATCCCCTCGGCGCCCGTCTTGCCGCCTCCTCTCAATCCGGAATATGTTCCCAGTGTGACTGATCCCTCGGTAAAGTTTACTTTTTCTAATTGCTTTTTTCTCCTTCCTGTTAACATAATTCTTCTCATTGGCCTAAACTATCCCCTCCCCAGTTCTGCCACCGAAATTGCTACAATAAGTTGATTCTACTCACTTTCCAACCTGCGATTTGGCTAATTTGGTGTGGTGTTGTTTAAAATAGAGCATCGACCAATGCCTTTTAAAATAATTTTTTAGCGCATTTTTTTCGGCAAATGAATGAAGCAGTGCTTAAAACGCATAACTAAACGAAATTGGCAAAAGTTTGCAGAACGTTTTCTACACACGGACTCACACGCATCTGCTCCAAGTGCCTCAAGTGCAACAAAACTTTCAATAGATGTCATGTTCTTTTCAGGATCTGATTAACTCCATTCGCCACTTTATAATGAGGAATTTTAACTGTTTGTACTGTAGGAGGGTAAGTAAATGAATTATAAACCTGAATTTTAATTTATACTGCAGAATGAGAGGCTACAGGAGCTAGAGAGGGCTCTCGTCTCTGTTGAGATACCACCAGAAGGCAGCGCACTGCCCGATGTGCCTCCGCTTACCACGGCCAAACAGGAGGAATTCCTTACTGCTCTTCGCAAGAGTCTAGACGTCTTTAGCAACCGTATGCGAGTCTGCAGCCAACGCGGCCGACAGGTGGCCACTGATTCCACTCTTCAGACGCTCTTCAAGACTCTGCATCAAATGAATTTGCAGTTGATGCAGTACTCCAATGACTTGGAAGTGAGACGCAGTGAGTTAGTCTTTCGGCGAATTCGTTTCTGTTTACCTTCCTTCATTAGAAGTTGTTTAGTCTACTTGTGCGAGGGGCGTTCACTTCAAGCAAGTAAATAACAAATATCTGTAGTCTTCAACTACATTCATACACTTTTTTCAGTCCTGGCATAGGGAGCTCTGTCGCTAGAGTTGGAAAATATTGTAATAAGCCGCTTCAATTCCTCACCAGTGGTGGTGGTGGTGACTTGGTATGCCTGCCCTCCTTTGTTGTTAGGCTTGAATACCGATCGTAATGATATAACAGTTTTGTTAAGTGTAATGATAAAATTTTGGCACTCAGTGTGCCTTAACCCTTCGAAATCATGAATATTTTTGATTGATTGCATTGTGTTCATCGTTCCTAAGGAAAGAATATTTGTCTCCCGTGCAATTTCAAGGCAGGTCATACGTCAATCGGTTGTTTAGGATCAGGCGCTTTAAGCGTAGGCTGAATGTTCACACAAATGACTGCTCACGACCCCAATTGTCTCTCACATACAGTCGTGCTTATGGCACTGTCGTGGTGTACTTGATATCTCCTGAAGATCCGAGTAGATATTCACGAGTTTGGGTCCTACGGCTTCAATTATCACTACACCCTGTTCCTGTGGGTACTGTCACTACCGCTTCCCAACTTGACTGATGGCGTCTAGAGCGGACCAGGCGATGATATATGCGTCTACCAGCAGTGTGTAGTGCGACACACTCGTCACTTACTAGTATCTGTGGTGCTGTCACAATAGAACCTAGTTATACACGGATAAAATTAAAACTCCCACATTCACTCGATCGTCTATCGTTTTAGCGTGGGTGGTGCATTCGTGTGATTTGTCAACTTTTTCTTATCTTAGCCTCTCTGGAGAAACTCCAGGATCAAACAGCACAGATACGCGAGGCACGCGAGGCCTTGGACGATCTTCGTAGGGACTACGCGGAACAGAGGCGACGTGAGGAGGAGGAGGCCCATCGTCAGCGTCAAATTCTGATGATGCAGAAGGTGGAGGTTTTGCGGCAACAGAAAAGGGTAAGACTTTTAATTTTCTTAAATGCAGCACTTAAATTTTTCAAATGAACACTGTGCTGATGTTTGTTTGCTGTAGCAACTGTAGTTGAAGCTTCTTTTGACCTGTTGAAATATGAATTAGCCTTTGCATAAATAATTACATGCTGCCGTTTTAATGGATAAAGTCCACAGGGAACAGTTGACGGTGAAAGCGACTTGAGGAGACTATTTCTGTGTTGACATTTTTTACTTAAACTTAGCAATTTAGTTGGGATTGTTGATTTCTACACTCTGCGCTGCGTTTTTCGTCGATCCGTAGCTGTATGCTCTCGGCAATTCCTCTGAAGACGTCATAAAGCACACCAGCAAGGCTGGTAGGTGTTTCCGTAACTGGCTACCATGCTGAACCCGAGGTTTGAATGGTTGTCAGATTTTAATACGGCTTTGCTCGGTCCACAGTAAATTCCCTCCTCCTATAGCGCCTTGGTATTCTTACTGGGTGACCCCGAAGCCGTCAACATTGCAGCGTCCAACTTATTGTTGAAATCTTTGCAATGCGTCTGGGATACTAGCAGCATTGGTGACGACCACGCAGGCAAAAGAATTGTCAAATTTCTATAAATGATGGCATTAATGCAACCATTCCCTAATTCTTCTCTGAAGGATGCCATGGAGGCCCAAAGCCGACAGTTAATGGAACAGTCAATGGCCTTCCAGCAGCAATACGGTCAGTATGGGTATGCACAACCCACAGTGTATAACACAATACCTTCCATGCCCCCTATGATGGCATACGGTGCTTCTGCCATGGGGTATCCTCAAGGCACCGAGTATTACGCCCAACCACAACAACCTCAGGCACCCTACGATCCATCGCTTCAACAACAGCCGCAGCCTTCGGTAGAAATTGAAAATCCAACCCCCAATGTTGCTGCCGCTGTTGTGGCCACCAACGGAAGGGATGACCAGCCGCCTCGGATTGAACAGAAACCAGGTGGCACCTTTGACGTGCAAAGTGAGTTTCTTTTTCATTTCTTAATAGTAGGTCCTAATTCGCTCTGTTTTTGGTGTGACCCGCCGCAATATTTTTTGCACCCCATGAAGTGAATACGATTGTTTGTATGCATGTAATATAAAGCGTAGACAGACGTGCTGAGGCCTATTGTTGTTGTGTAGCATTTGGAGAATAAAGTACCATATTAAAACGGTTTAAATTCAACTGTTTAATTCTGGTGATGCCGCCTATGTTGGGTTCTTTTGCCTGCATAGTTTTGTGGTTCTGTGCTCATCCTGTCTCGTCAGCATTGCTCCAATTCCTCTTTGCCATAATCCTCATCCCTTACCTGACACACATGCGTATTTCACTCCTATGCAGACATGATCCAGTCGCTGCCTGCGCCACTACAACCTCCGGTCGAGTACGTTCAACCTGGCGGTCCTCCGGTGCCCTCCACTCTGATTGATCAGATGCCCGCTCCGCCTTCCGATGAGTTGGGCTCCTCTTCGCGCGCGGCGGAGGGAGAAAACACCCGGTTAAAACCGCCTACACCGCAACTCATCTGTCTTGAGTGAGGCTCTCTCTCTCCTGAGTTCTTTCTCTCCGCCCCTCCTTCCGTCTGCATTCACATAAACTCGGTTCTCCATCACATACTCAGTTTGCATCACTTTCTTCCCTCCAATGGTCAAATATGTTAATTTACTGAGCCCAGCCCGTGTGAGGCTCGGTACAACTCTTAATGTCATTTTTTTGTGCTTTTCATTTTTTTTTGGGAGGTCCATTTTGATGGACTAATGAATTTTTGCCCTGAATTTGTGTAATTTTAGTAAATTGAGATTTGATATATTTCTGGCAAGTGAAAGGTAATGGTAGCATGCAATGCCTGAGGCCAAAGTCTTCTTTATGGCCACACATTCCGGTATCCTTCCAGGAAACTCTCATCAGCGAGAAAGCTCGCAAAGTGGGTTCGTGAATGCAAGCTCAAAGGAGCGGTTTGAATGTTTTCTTGATCAAGTAGTAGGAGTTTTACAAGCGCGAGTTGTATCTCACTAGTTTTTCCGTGGATTCTTTAGTACATTACTAGAAAGGAGACAGAGGGACGATCTGGTGTTTATTTAGAGATGTGAAGGACTTTCATTTGGTCAAGGAAAGGTTCACACAACTGGAATACCAACAAAGTCGAAGACACAATGCAGCAGTACAGTTGGAAGGAAGCTGCTTCTGTCCTTACATGAGATTAGGTGACACCTTCGAGGGAGTCTTGGATGCTTCCAGAGCGAGGTGGATACGCAAGTATATGGTCTTACACCTAGCTATGCGGGCCCTTCACTATAACTCCCATATCCTAATGAGTGGCATTGACGTGTCCGCTGCCAGAGTCTTCCTTCATACTCGGATGCCCTACAACGGATCCAGGAAAGACTAGAAATGCTAGCTCGATGCCTTTGTTGGCTACTGAAGGTTCGCGAAGTATGGATCAAGTGCCCGTCTCGACGCCTTGCATTCAATCTGTCCCCAGACGGTTAAGTCGGCAGGTAGTGAATGCGTCACCTTTGTGTGGTCCCATGGACTTCTACTAGAAGTGTCGTCCACCCCCCCCCCCCCCAAAGAACGCTCCCGTTTCAATTCTTCAGAAGTCTCCTTCATCGTGTGCAGTTGTCAAGCATTCTGGAATACCTTGAACCCCTTGCACTTCTCCTAGTTGGCCAATAGCACACGTTGCAAGGAGCTGGAAATGGGAGTGATCCGTCGTCACGACGGTCAGCCAGCAGTCCCAGACATAGGTACTCCAACCATCCCAGCTTACTCATACTGATCCGTGAAGGGAACATTCGTATTCAAGGATTCATATTCTGATAATTCTTATTACGATTTCGACAGACATATCTTAGCTATTCCCAGAGGCGATGCAAGAAATTCTAGAAATCTGAAGCCTAACGCATTTCGGAGAGAGTGGTTGAACCCTCAAGCATACAATTTCCATCGTCGAAATAACCAATTACTTCCAAATGGAGATCTGCTGTATCTAGCTGGAATGATCAATGGTCAGCCTTCAGCGAGGTACCACAACAAGAAAGTAAGAAAAGCGTCGCTGATTGGGAGATAGATAGAAAGGAGGAGGTAGGAGGACGGGGGTTTCACAGAATGTTCTGTTCTAACCGAATTTCTGTGTATCCACCCTCCCTGGGTGGATATTGGAAGCAGGTGAAGCGAACGTCCAGAACGGCGCCTTCATCAGCAGCCAGTAGGGGATAGACAGCGCCCCGAATGCCCGTCACCCCGGTGCATCGACGCCCGTGGTCACGAAAGTACTGCGGCACCCCGTTAATGGCGAATCGGAGTTCAGTGTGATCATAGAAGACACCCAGAATGTCACCTTCTTCTAATGCTGGTGAGGTGCCCTTACGTGACTCCAGCTCCATCAGAGGGACGGAGTCGTGGTAGATGACACCGTCGTGGAATAGGACCCATGCCGTGTTCTGCCTCCGCATGTCATCAGCCACGTTTAGATTGGCCTGAATGGGTGTTTCGTTTGAATAAAAATGAAGGAAAGTGGTTAAACAACGATGTACTCTTCAGGAGTCAGTCAAACGGTCGGTTAGCAGTCTAAAAATGACGCCTTTTGATACCAAACAAGTTTATGGGATTTAAGATTTCTCGTCGCCCAGTAGGGGTTGGCGCGTAGCACCAAGTTGGCTGGTAATTTCTACGACCTTCTCCTCCCATTGCTTCATTACTCATATTAGGCACTACTAAAAGCTGATTTTCACACGTAAATCACTAAATGATTTGGTAGTCGATGACAGAAAAACTGCACTTCCAAATGGGAGCAGACGGTCCGCCCGAACGGGATGGGGGAAGGCCTGGTGAGTTACCATTCCCGAAGATTGGCATGTCCTGCTTCCACACATCAAGTCATAATAATAACGGGCTATGCCGAAAAGTGGATGAACATTTCATGTTACCTATAACTCCAACTTTCAAATTTGTTCGACGTTATGACTATCAATTGTCACTTTTATGGGCATGCAACGTACTACTTAAATTAGTAAAGCAAACCGTGGCAGAAGTTATGGCATTACTTTGCTCTGCTTCCACACATAATTACAGCGGGCTGTACTGAAAATTGAATGAGAAATTTATGCTGTTTATCGCTCCAACTTCCAAATTCAGTCATCGCTATGAATACCATTTATCACCTTTATAGGCGCGCAACATACTACTTAAATTATTAAAGCGAAACATGACAAAAGTTATGGAACAAAAGTGCTACGTTAGTTCAAGTCCTCCGAGAAATCAGGGCCTTAAAAAGGATGCCTTTCTAACGAATAAATAGAGCTAATGAAGCGGTGATACATGCAGGCCCACCTTAGAATGACACAGACCGATAGCCCACAGGCCTCCTGACTGCAACTTCACCTCGAAGTAGGCCTTGTCCTGCACAATCGGAGCAGAGGCGCGAGCTGCTCCACTGCCGCATAGACGCGTATTGTTCTTCACAATTACCGCAAATTGGCCGGCAGAGGCGAGATCCAGTTTCACCGCGGTCTGCGGCTGTGGCTGCGCGAAGGTGTATAGGGGCATCAGAACCGCCGTCTCCCGTTCGTCCTCTTCGTCGCTGTAGAGACCTACCCGATCCCAGTGGATCGAATCACGGCCTCGCGGGCGAATGCAACAACGAATGATGCGTCGATAGATGAACGCCATCACATCTACCAGTTGATAAAGCGGTTAACGTAAGTTACTGGCTTTTGCACCAAAACAGTGCAGTGCAATCCCTCAGTTGAATATGGAGGAAGCAAAGTTAGTGGACGAAAGCTTGAAACAAGCATCGGATACTACTTCTTTCTCGACCTACTCGTATTGTGAACTCTGTAAACCAAACAGCTCAAATGCTCAGTGCTTTTGTGACCAACACCTATTTCACTTCAACCCAATAGTTTGTTTTGAATATTCCACTCCAGTACGCTTCGTGAGCTGTAGTGAAAATTATTTATGGACGAGGAAATGGGAGGCTGGCCTTACATGCTACTTATTTCCGCACCCTAAAACTTGACCACCTTTACCTAATTAAACAAAAATTAATTCCAGAGATCACCTTCACTGTAAATACACCTCAATCGCCTATGAATGCAACGTCAAGATGGACAATTTTGCTCAGCTTACGCTACTACTTCCAGTACGGATATAAGTAGTATGCTTCGATGCGTAAAAAAGTGAATGGAGTAGATTAAGCCACAACGGTTAGACAAGCGAACACAACGACAGTGCAGTGGTAATAGCGTTAGCTGTGTTAAAGCCAAATGAGATCGTCTACCTTTTCATCAAAATATGCATATATTCACCCATGGGAAAAGAAAAACATAATTCATCAACTGACAACAAAGTAGGTTGGAGGTCTAAATTACTGAAATCTTGGAGGCAAGGGGGTTATTTACAAAGGTAGTAGGGACGTCTTGATGCATCAATTAACTTGGAAAAGATCGCTCAATTTTTCCACCCAAAATCGCTTCGATTCGCCTGAAAAGGAAAGGAGCGAAGAGAAAGATGGCATCCTTTTGTACGGAAATAAGGCTAGCGCGGGTTGGTGAAAAAAGCGACTCACTTATCACTTTGGAGATGTCGACTTTTTTTCCGAAAAAAGTGAGGAAAATTTCACGTTTATTGAGGCGCCGAAGGTGCAGCCAGATGTCGGGTTCAAGTTTGACCAGGCACTCGCACCAAGATTGGCCAAAACTTGAGAAAAGACGCACGTAAAAAAACGTTTTAATTTGGACAAGACATCACATACCAGGACATGACATCCCCACGAACGGCGTAGATGATGGGTAAGAGGGGCGCAAAAGCAGGAATAACGTCACTGAGACCTCCTGAGTAGAGGGGGAATAGGTCTGTGGTTATCGAGGCTAGCTCAGGCTCCCACAACAGAAAACCTCCGATAGAGGAACAACCAGGCGTGCCCTGAATAGGTTTTGAGGATGATTCGGTACTCAACGACAGGGTTGAAATGTCGGAGGTGAAAGCGGCGCTTCAAGAAAGTGTCAAAACAAAGCGATTAATAGTCCTGTCTCAACTGAAAGCTGTGTACGGTTGAGAGAAGCTACTTTACATCTCTGCTGGCAGTTAAAGTGGTGAATTAACGACATCCTAGTAGTTTAAACCGACTAAACGGACATTTCAACAATGACTGGTAGGACCAAATACTAGTTTCCTATAGATGAATTTGATCCTGGGTTACCTTGGGTGTACTTTTGAAGACACAGCCCTTCCAGACCTCTGTAATTCAATTGTCGCGAGGGTGATATGGAGGCCTGTTCATGTCAATCGCGTCATTAACCTATCAACCAGTTGGCTTTCTTGAGTGGTGCTTATGTCAAACCGGGATTTTTTATTTTGCTGATTCAAACAAGGATACCAACAAGGCGATACCGCATGCGCTGGTAATGACCAGTGTGTATATTGCGGACACTCGCTCTAGACACCGTCAATCAAGATCACAAACACCACTAGTACCAGCATATCCATTTAAAGAATTTTCTTTTCAACGAAAAAAAGCATAGAACCTCGAACTCGTGAATATCTACTCATACAAAAAGGAGATTCTGTCACCAAAACGCTAAATAGCAGGCATTCTTGTGAACCTTCAGCCAGCATGTAGAATGTCAAATCAAGGCCCAACCTGTTGTAAGGTTGGACTAAATATGAATACAAATTCCTCACTGACAACGGTAAATACGTCACAGACGATCACAAGCATGTACGATTTCTAAAAGTTAAGCCATAATGGAAACTAGGACCACTTTTGCTTCTGATTAGACAAGAAGACTTTAACGCTACCAGAACTTTCTAAGTAAGAAGTAAACATGATTTCGTTGAAAGGTGATTAAGGTATTAACTCCTTGGAAGCTGCTCATTCCAAATGGGAAGTCAAAAGTTCCGGTTTAACTTGAACTGATCCTAGTAATTCAACTTCTCCATCTTGTAAATTAAGGCTAATGCATGACTTTGCGTCAAAGAAAATACATCCGAACAAGAGTTTGATCATTGTAGTAGTTGGGAAATTAAACAAGAACCGCATATACGTACCTCTCACCATAATCACCTTCAATTTCAGTGGACAGGTCAGTCAATGCGTTCCCGTACATAGTATCGAAGGTGGTAAAGAATTCCTTTTTAAGTGCATACTTTTCTACAATTGGAAGCAAAGTTGGACATTTGAAAGGGAACAGGATTACGAGAATTGAATACAATCATAAAAAGGCTATTAGAAAAAACTGCTCATAAAAGCAACTGACCGTCAACAAAGAGGCAGAAAGTTAGTCTCAAGGCACGATAAACCACTACATTGACTCTTCGATACTCTGAATTGGGAAGTTTTAGGAAGACAGTTGGAATTAGGGTCTGTGCTGGGCAAAGTCGCTTGTCCATGTCCGGTGGACCAGTTAGGAATCTATAAAGTGGCATAGAATAGTCTACCTGGACGAGGACCTTATTAGTTGGACTAGAAATTCCCTTGAGAAAAAAACTCACCTGCCCATATGCGGTGCCTTGGGCGAGATAGCGGCTAGATCAAGATCAGGAGGCAAACTCATGATTTCAGAGATGATGTAACGAAGGATAGGGCGAAAATCCTTTACAGACAGTGATGACCTTTATAAAAGTAAAGTCATTTTTCATAGTCATAATCACGGATGATAATTAATGAGGCCTAAGCAACCAACTGCATCCTTTCTCGAAGTATTTGGCTGAATGCCAACTTTGCGAAAAAGAATTGATTCACTCAATTTGTATTGTATGGAGAGAATGTGTTGGTGCAAGTTACGACGATAATAAAGAATCGGTTGTGGCATTTCAGTCACTGTCAATCCAATGATTTCTGCCTACTACGCTAAATGTAAGCAAGAACACCTCAGGCACTCCTTTATAGAAAACAGAGACAATAGCCTTAAACAGCATCCCATGTCCACACCAAACCAACTTAGAGGCATAACTACCATAACTTAATCTCTATTATGGACTCAAAGCCCTTCATTTGAAAAAGAACCTATCTCGACATATCACTTTATTGTGCACGCATTGCTTTGGATTATTTGCTCTTGTTAGATTGTTTTGCATACAATCAATTTGTTAAATCACGGGTTAGCAAAATAACATCCCCAAAAAACTGACCTCTCTAACTTTGGTGTAATTACGCAATAGTAAAAAGCTCAGTTTTGATAAAATTACCTACCATGCCAGATGTGCATCATACAAGAGTACCGCGCTTGTATTCGGAAACGGACAGGAAAGTTGAATACGAGTGCCCAGATTTTCCAAACTTAGTATGTTTTTGGGACTCCAGAACTTCCCTTGTATAGCCTCAAATAGGTCAGGAATGTCGTGGAAGCTAAGGTCAATCATTGTCAACTCCTAAAAAGAGAAACTGAGAATGATATGCGGGTGGGTTGCGTGAAATCAAGTCGTTAAAATTGTAAGGACATTCTTTGAAAGCAATTGAAAAGTGAGCGATGAACTTTGTCAAGAGAGCGTGCTGTGTAGTAAATGATTGAAGGAAATGCCAATAAGCCGAAATCTCACTTTACTGAAAAATTTCATTAAATTGCTTCGCGACTCGACCATTTCTGCCTCAGACCCTATCAATATTGGTCCATGTAAGAGCTGAAATGAAGTTAAGTCCCTAGAACTCTGAGAATTAAACAACGTACCTCAAAACGTTCACATAAATTTGCCAGTTTGTGTGAGATCACATTGTCATCGATGATGCGTTCACAAAATTTGCAAACATGGGATAAGGCTGATGGATCGATGACGGACACACTCTAAAATGAGGTTCCACTTAAGTTTCAAAGTCATATGCTCCAGAATTATAAGCTTTTTGTGAAAAAAGTATGGCGCTCATAGCTGCTAAACGATGAAAAACAATAAACTGATACGGACGATCTAAGCCCTACTTATACAAACCATCAAATCGTACATTACTGAAAAGCCACACCTATGTAGACGGTAACATTACTAAATTCGAGTTGCCTCATGTATGACATTTCGGTATGACGATAGTTACGCGAGTGCAAAAAATACTAAGCAGTAGACTACACTAAAATGAAAATAAGGCCTAGTAAAAACTAACCAAGACGCCCCAAACATCGTCAGAAATTCGGTGGAAATAGCGCTTTCCATTACGTGTGTGCAAAGCGGTACATGAAGTTAGGAAAAAATTGGAGAAGGATAATAAAGCATCACATAATCCAACAACCGCCAGTTGATCATTCTGAGATGTACCACTGGGATAAAAGTAAAGAACCTTTCCGTATTCCTAGGTGGAAAGACGTAGTAATAGGACGGGACAAAGAAACAGAGACACCAAATTCTCCTATATTAAATCAAATGATTTGGAGCTATAACATTAACCAAAATGAATTAGTACCCTTGCGTAATAATTTCGGTAACGCAGTCCAGATAGTAAAATTATTAAATGACAGGATTCGACATCATAACCCAGACATCACACAAGCTCATAAGAGGAGATGATAGTCGAAATAACCGCTTACTGAACCAAAAGCTTCCTTATTTTGTGCTGTGAAGATAAAGAATTCCTTTACGACGAGCGGGAAAGACATCCTTACATTGCACCCCAACACCACATTAATGACCAATGAGTGAACGAGGTGATTTCCCTGAACGTAAATGGTGAACTCAACCGATAGGATTGCTTGTCTTAGTTCCATGATTTCGAGAATATAATTGGTTTTTATGACTGCATCGAGTTGCTGTTAATTTTGGCGCTTTTTTAAAACCAAATAGTTGGAGCGTTAAGCAGCCGCTGTATTGCAGATGATTTATGTGTGTATACTGTTTGTTTCGCACTGTATTTCAAAATGCAAATTCTACCGGCATTTTAGTAACTTAAATTTTTAATCACGTACCCCCAAATGTATTACACTGGGACTACGGGTATACGTGAACCATCTTTACTACCACTACCCAATGAAACATTCCCGTCTGACCCGCCTGCGCGATCCAAGGGTATGAAGGCTGAGGTGGATGAGAGATACACCAAATATTTTATAGCTACAACACTTGTTAATGAAAATCATGAACAGCTATACTTGGTAGACACCAGGGTGCGGATGAAATA